CTTTCTTTCTCTCCCTCTCTCTCTCTCCCTCCCTCTCTTTCCCTCTCTCTCTCACTCCCTCCCTCTCCCGCTCCCTCTTTAAGAAAACTTCGCTCGATCGCTCGATTTAAGTAGTGGAACCATTTTTGAGAAAATTTTGTTTCTATATTTTTTAAAATTGTCACAATTTCAACATAAACAAAAACTTCTTGGATTTTCAAAAAAATTGTTCATTATTACAAATTGGACCTTATTTAAAGTTCTACAAAACATGTTTCATTCAGGGAAAATCTCTAGATTTTCTCTGAATGAAATAATAAGGTTTTAGATCACGGTCAAAAAGTTGTTTTTCTATTTTCAAAATTCAGAAGTTTTAATGAAAATCAGAGCTACACTATTTTATGTGCATATAGTTGAAGAAACACAAGGTTTACCTACACTATTTTTATATGTGTCTATTGAAGAAATTACTGTAAAGAGAATTTGTGTAATATTTGAGAAAGTTTCAAACAATCTTAAGTGTCTTCATGTAAAGTAGCTGCAAAAATTAAATGACTTGAAAGTATCCATATTCGTGGAAATTCTAAGTACGGTTCACAGACATTTTGAGAAAAATACTTTTTCAGCTTCGGGGACCACCAAGTCATGTATTTTGACCACTTTATAACAAAAAGCAATATACTGCTTATCTGAGTAAGTCTTATATTTTGTATCAGGAACCCATAAAACAAATTTTGTCTGTCAAAATATTGACACTTTCCTGCAGCATTGCATAATTTTCTCAATTCTATGTGTACAATTTGTACTGTTCAGGTTTGCAAAGTTGACCAATGTGACTTGCTGATTTGACCCATCAGATTTCCTAACTGAATGCCATGACAGTTAACCACTCATTTAACCAGCTTTGTTGATGTACTAAAGGCGAAACAGTCTTTTCTTTTTTGCTTTTCTTTCTTTCTTTCTTTTTCTTCTTCCTTTCTTCATTTTATGTGATTGGTATGACTTTGCTCTAGGCACACAAAGCTGAACCTCAACTCGCGCAGGGAGTGGTGCTGCCTCTGGCAGAGCGCATGGTTCAGAAGCTGGTGAATGAAGATCGCATAGAGGCTGAACAGGAGGTGCAGCTCTACCTGATGGTGCTGGAGATGCAGGTGCGAAGTCATTTTCTGCTCAATTCGTTCATTGTTCGTTTCTAAGTCTATAGCTTCTGAGGAAAGAGGAACATGTAAGCATAATTATTGACTCTGATAGCCATTTTGAAATCCACTCTTATGACCCAGAATATAACTGGATAATAGATTGGCATGTTATTTATAGCAGACAAACTCATGCACATTACCTGCAGTTGATAGCTTGGTTTACAAATATATTTAAAGATTCAGTCACATAGTTGCTAGAAGGAAAAAAGTTTCTTTTGGTGGATATAAATTTCCTTCCATGGTAGGTCAGTTTCAAGAATGTGTCGTAAAAAAATGATTGGTACTGATTTGTGTTGTGGAAAACAAAATTGAGTCTCATGAAGGAAATTGTTTGCTATTTTCACACTACATTGGCAGCTTTTCTTTTGTGCAGTCCAAGTATGAAGAAGCACTTCGGGTGGTGGAGGGCCCTTTGGGAGAGAAACTGGTCTCTTACGTTGTTGTTCCCTTGAAACGAGCTTCCCTGTTAATGAAACTGGAGAGGTGGCGAGAAGCAAATGTACTCTACAAACAGCTGCTCAGAGAAGAGTGAGTGACACTGTCTGCCTACTTCCTAGATTTCTGACAAGTGAATCCTTTTTGTACATGTGGCCACTGGCAGAGCCAAGAGAGGATCATAAAGGCCATAACCACACCATACGGAAGTCAATATTTTTATGAAATTTCATTAAATTTATTCAAAATAATTACCATCTATACAGCAAATTCTCATTATGGACTCTCTTGTTATAGAAACTTTTTAAATAACGAACAAAATCCTACTGTCATGCCCTTATCCTATTAAATTGTGTGTTTTTCTCTCTGTGTAGTGAACTTTTGCCTTCTAATTAGCTTACATTATTTTCAAAGGGGAATCAATGCCACCTTGAATAAATACTTTCTCAATGGCATTGGTGGAAAAATGCATTGTTGCCAAGCAAGAAGTATATGTTTGAGTTCACCATGCAAGACCAGCATGTGGACAGAAACAACATACTTAATGAGTCACAAATATTGGATGTTATTGGATAGACATTTGCATTAATTTTCATTCCTTTCTTGGCAGTCCACTGTTAATCCCCGAATTACTTGTGCCAATCAACTGACAAACATCGAAGTGGACACAAACTTCACTTAAAATTTGTGTCAGTGTTAGTGGCTTGTTTGTGATATGCCACCACAGAAACAGCTGAATGTGTCGTCAATCGTGCTCTCAATACATTAGTCCTAAACTAGTATGTTTTACAGGGTCAGCGAAAATATGAATATAATAATCTTGGATGTGCTGTAGTAAACAATCAAAGAGTTCGAAAAACACACTACAAATTTAAAGTCCTTTCTAGAAATAAATACTATTGTTTGTAAAATAAAGGGTATAAAGGAAACAAAACATTATTCATGTTGCTTGTATCTTGTGTGTAATGTCATACATTAATTTTAATTTTCATAATATAATCTTAATAATGAACTCTCTAATTAACAAACGTGTAAATATCCCCTGGAATTCATTAATTTGAGAGTTTACTGCCGATCTCAATCACATCCAAAGCAGTATTCCTATTATGAAAATACTCCTAATTTTTTTTTATTTCAAGCTAACAATTAAAGAAATTATTTCAAAAGTATGTATGGGTTCAAAGTGAACTCTCCCTTGAAAACGTTTTGAATTCATCCCTTATGGTAGCATTGTGTATATTAGATGAAATTACATTATTTTAACACTTGCAAGTGAAGACGTTGTTTGTCACAATCAACCTTGAAACTTTTTGCTTCATTAATGGGATTATGATCATGGAAGGAATTGTCAACAAAACTTTTAAGATTGTCATTATCTTATGGGAACATTTTAAAAGGAACACAGAAAATGTAACAATCATCTCTGTTGTATTTCTTTTACATTTCGAAGAATATATAAAGTTTTTATCCGATGGTTAGAAAAAATTATGACTTCATAATGAATATTTAGAACCATAAACTCTCATTCATCAATTCAAAGTTAGTGTAATAGTGCCACAACCTGGGACCTGTATGGAAGTTTGCTTTTGACTCAATATTGACATTATTGATTTTGTGTGAAATAATTACATTTCAATGATAATACATTTATGGATTTTCTGATGCAGCATGGATCGATGGTCTTATCTCATGAATTATCTTACTACATCACTGAAGCTTTTTGACTCTGGCCAACAGAATGGCAATAACAACACCATGAACAACAGTAGTTCCACTGCAAATAACAATATCAACAATAATCGGCGTAATAGCTCATCTGTTGCTGATAGTCCACATGAGCAGTTGGGTGATGATGCAAACGAGAGTATGTGGAGGGAACCTGACTCTTCCCCAACTGCCTGTTGTCGATTTTTGGCACATTTAGTGACAACATCAGAGAAGGAGTCTCAGCGGCGGTTGCGTGGTCCATATCTGGCACAGCTAGAGCTGTTTCGGTTGCTCTCTGATAGAGGGATGGATGCTGAACCCCTTTTGGGTGAGTATCGGATTTCTAGGAAGTGGTTGTGTAGCAGTAAGGGCTTTTCTTCCCTTCAAAAGTGAAATCATAAGTTAGCTCAAAGTATAATTACTTTGCACTTGGCATTTATGTGAAACTTTTACTTTTTAATTAGCTCTATCTATCTGTTCTTGTGAAGACTCAACTCAGGTTCATTAACATAAAAAAATTAATTAGTGCAGTCACTGAAAAAATAATGAAGAATTAAAAAAAAATATCTATTACAATTTTTGATCTTACAATATGTTTGACACTGAATGCAAAAAACTTGTTTTGTGACAAATTGAAATGCCTCAAAATCTGAAGCATACAGAAAGTCCCCCTGGTGAGCTGCAATGTATGTGCAGTTGTACAACGCCTGAGCAAGAGCCTGAGCTCTTTCATCCTTTTTCATCTGTCTCTTATCCACACAACTAGTATTTTTTTGCACATTTTCAATTATTATTCAGGTAATAGAAAAACCAAGAAATTATAATACAAAACATATAAAAACTATACTAGTAAATGTTATAAACAATACAATATATAAAACAAATGAATACCCTCCTATTATTGACTATGTTATTAAATATAGTGATTTCATTCTTAATGTACTCTATTCCTTCAATATTAAAACTTTATATCATTGCATGTCCAGAAATTTGAATTTCTTATTGAGTTTTTTGAGAATTTGATTTTGAAAATGCAATCAACCACAAATTTAAAGGACATTCTCTTTACATGCTATATTTCCATTTCCTAATTTTAAAAGAAATGTAAGTCAATTAAAAAGGAATATTAAGAGTTATTTAAATAGATGTTTTAATCTGATGCATACCTGTCTTATGTGAGGGGGACTTTTTGTTTCTGGCTCAGTTGAAGAGAATGTGAAGCATTGAAATAAAGAAAGTAAATTTTCTACTCGACATTTTCCATAAAATTATCTGGAAGATGCCTTACTTGAATATGATTTTGGATAATTGTGTAGTTTGTAGCTACTACATGAAATGTCTGTACATTGTTAGATTTCTCTGGTTCTTAGTGTTTTGAAAATTCTACTTTGGGGCTGAGCATACCTCCTGCCTACAGGGAAACCTGCAGACCTCCTCATACGCTACGTTGAACTCTTTGCCGAGAAGCCATGTTGCGTGTCAGATCTCCGGCGCTTCCTACCTTTGCTGCCAGAATCAGAACGCTCTTCCTTCATCCAGAAAGTGACGGCTGCTACAGTGTGGGATCCTGTGGGTGGTGTGGCTGACTTACAGCGTCATGTGTGTGGGCTGCAGTTGACACGCATGCTTGGTGCACATTTAGAGATGACTGAAACTCAGCGACAGGTTCTTGCCACCGAGTTGCTCCTGTACTATAAGAAGAGTATGCACCTCTCCACTGAAAATTTACAGACTGAATTTGCGTGAGTCATTTTCTTTCTCTTTTTCCATTTGTTCATTTATTTGTTATCTTGGCCAAAACTATTTTGGTCCATGTTTCAAGATTCCCCAAGAGTATACGGAATTAGGACTGTTGGTTTTGAAGACAACAGTTCTGTAAATAGAGAATAGTAATTTTATGTTCATTCAAGAATGTTGAAGAGGTAGAAATTAGTTTTGTGTCAATCATCCATTATTTCTTCTCTCTTAAGTATTTATTTTTTATTAATTTATTTCATTTGACATAATCTGGCTATTCCAATTAATGATGAATACTTTATAGCACTAGCACTGAATTCACAATATTCACGGTACACTCGTGAAATGGTTATATAGGGAAATCCAAATTCATCGCAACATCGGAGATCTCTCTTGCTCTGACACCACATTCAAACTCACTTAAATTGTGATAACCTGCCATTGTAGCAACAGTAACTGATCTAACAACTGTGCTAGACTGAATGTCTTACATAGTTGTTGCCGACAGCACTGTATTCTGAATGGTTCCTAATCTCTTTATTTTAATATGCATGGCTGTACCAGTTTTTTGGCACTTTAGTTGATAGCATTGGACACTTTTTTTAAAGTAGTTGTTGTTATGGAATATATGAACTGGACATTGAAGAGAGTAGATGTGTGTGAGTGAATTTTTTTAACTTCTTTAACAAATAATTTTGGAGGAGAGTAAACTATATGAAATTGATCAGAGAAAAAGAATTAAGAAAAAAAGTACCTGCAACTAGACATTTTACAGTTTGTCTGTGCTTTTCAATATTGTAATGAAATACATAGGCATTCATGTGTGTTCTAATAAATTATTTATTCAACTAAGAGTTCTGTAATAGAAACAATAATGTTAATTTTGCAGAAACACATGAAACGTTTCAGCCCATGAAATGCAAATCAGAATGCAGCTATAAGCATGATGAACAGTGAACGAAACAAAGTTACTAGAAATGCTCGTGCATTTGTGGAGCTCTGAAGTCGTCAAATATTTTGTGATAAATAACATGTAAAAAGCAACAAGCTACAACAAGTACAATAACTATACAAATGCTGAACTTTTATTTATCATTAAATCTTGTGTGGTGAAAACATATACAGTAAAACCCCACTTATAATTTCCTCCATTTTACGTTGTCCTGCCTTTTACGTAATTTTTCGTTGGTCTCGTTGAAAAACCTATATTTACAATGCATTCTCTTTTCGCAATTTAGAACTTGATATGAAGAGTGCTTCCCTCCTTTTACGTCTTTATTTAAAATTTACTTTATTTTATTTTTTTTACTTTCTCGTATACGTAAGTTTTATACCTAGTGCTCAGAAAGTTATGTAATTTTGTGGCAAAAAACGGTGATTTTTCAACAGAATAACTCGTACTGATTCTGAAAAAGTGGATAAAACCTGTTTCAATACATTGTAAATTTTTACATATATATGTAACAAACTCGCAAAAGTCTCGCGTTGGTTTAGATCAATCGAGGAATATCAATTTTGGAGAAAATCGGCAGGCGGTTTAGACACAAATCATCAAACGATTTTGCTGTTTCAAGGGCCCATAAAACAGGGATTCAGGCTACATCACGTGTTGGAGGAAGTAATTTACTATATATAGGAATATGATTTATCCACTTTGTCATTACCAGGGCACGTCAATAGGATATTTTCTGACGAAAATAACCGATTCTGATACATGCTTTTACTCGCATAGCCTATCGTTTTTCAACTTTCCGTATTTCACACTTTTTTTCATCGGTCCCCTGAAAAGTGTAAAAGGGGGGTTTTACTGTATTAGTGTTAAATCACTTACGCCCAAAAAAATGAATTTACATTATTATTAAAATTGTCCCTTATTTGAGAGATTTCTCACAGATGATAACTTTCAGTGTCAATAGATTATTACATAAATTCTCAAAATTGCTATACTACGGTGTCTGTTGACAGATCATCATCTGTTTATGTGTCATCCAATCAGGAGTTTAAATATCACTATAGCAACGTCATTATGGTGACATTTGTCCTGCTAATTGAATGGCACCATAACAGTTGGTGAACCGCCAAAGGACACTAAATAAATCAAAGTATAGACTTTTAACTTTTTCCATTTGCAGTAATTAATTTCTATTAAAAATTAAAATTATTCCAAAGTTGATTTTCATGGTTCAAAGTGATGTGGATGATGCAGTCAATTAATTCAAGGATTGACAAAGGAGTTTTAGTTGTTTTTCTTGGATGTTCAAATGAGGAGACTTTTGAATTGAATTGAATTGATTTGATGCCTTATTTTAGATGGTGAGACTTAGCCATAGCCCAGAAAAGTTTCAAATTATTACTCATGCAATGACATATGGCGAATTCAAATCTTCTCAACTCGGTGGCATACCTACTGTGCACATGTTGTCCAATCACATTAACTATCATTAAAGGTAGATGAAAAGGAATTGATATAAATTCCATCCAGGAAATGCTCCTGTTGATGAAAGTAATAGTTGTGACAGTTGTGAAAGTAATTGTTGGGACAGACTCTTCCAGCATTATAAAACTAGTTCATGAGCAAATGATTCTTGTTATTTTAGTACATTCAAACAAGCTATTATATTCTCAGGCACAATTTTGAACAATTATTGATGGATAAAGAATATGAATATATCTTTTCGAATTGAAAAATTATTGTTGTATTTTCCAATACTACTCTTGTTTTTTGAATAAAGAAAGTTTTTATTTCCAGGTGCAATGATCCATATGCATTGCTGGCAGCACATGTATTAGTGGACAGCTATCTCGCTACAGGCCATAGTGCTCCCCTGGTACGTGCTGCCCAGACACTTGAGATGGCCTTGGAGCGCTCTCCATCAAACTTCCATGTAAAGTTGCTTCTGCTGAGAGTTTATTCAGTGCTGGGTGCTGGTGCAGCAGCAGATGCTGTGTATGAAATGCTGGATGTGAAGCATATGCAGCTTGATTCCCTCGGGTACCTTCATTGTGCACAGTTGGCAGCACTTGGGCAGCTGCGGGCAGCTGCAGCCCTTTATGAGATCACTCTCAAATTCTTCACTGCTAATTATAAAGACGTAAGTATTTTAAGAAGTTAATGGATAAATAATATTTTTTGTAATAGTTCTTGTTTTTTTGTCAGTGTTTGTTGCTTTTCTTTACTTATTATTACTACATTACGTATACTTATTATTGTCAGTGTAAAACAGACATAGTGCCCTTAATCTTTGTTGATGGTTTTCATGTCTGTGAAACTCCACATCACATACCCTGCTGAATCGCCTAAAATGGACACAGCATAAGTGTTTATAGCTTTAGAAGTGTGCCCTGTATTAAGTCCATTTTTTAAAATTCTTCATACTCTGGCCAAATTCGGTGGTTTGTAGATTTTTTATTCTGGTGTGACTAGTGCGCTTAGCTAAGGTATGTTTCTTCAGCTTGCATCCCGCATATGCAGGATATTTCACATGTTTAAGTTCATATTCAGTATTTTACAGCTTTCCTTTAAGAAAACTTACTGCTCAGCACTTGCCCAGTGCAAATTGCTTCCTTAGAAAATTATCCCAGCTTTGATTTGTATGAAGATGTACTAGATGCTCTTCTTACACTTCACATTTAAAACTTAAGTTTTCAAATGTGAATATCTTTCAGACTACACCGTAGATCCACTTTATATTTTATGCAAAAATGTTAAAAATATATAATCTTTGATGTATTTTTGTTTCATTATTTGTGATGTAACAAGACAACTTTGTCAAGTGTATTGTCCTGATGCGAAATTTATAAAAGTTTTTTGTGTTAATAAAAAATTTTGAAATAAACATTTGCTAGAAAGCACTTTATCCACATTGTAAGATAATTAGTAGTCTTGATGTAAAAGGTAAAATTCAATCTGATTGACATTTTGCAAACTTGAAATTTAATCTGTGATTTGTGAAAGCATCCCATTATCTTTGAACACAGAGAATAAGCTTATAATTAATGTTCTGTTGGAAATGAGATAAGTAGATTAGTGGATTGTCCAAATAATTCTCTGCATTTGTGTATAATCACTTAATATAAGTTCCATCTGGTTGCAATTGGTTCTACAAACATGTTGGTGCAATTGTATCTACAAACATATCGTGCATTTTATAAAATCTAACAATATAAATGGAGTTGGTTTAATTATTATTCTTATAACAATGATTTGGTGTCATTACCATAAAATAAAATGAGTTGTCTGTTTATTCATGCCAAATATTAATTAAATAATTACCTGGTAGTAAGATAATTTACTTTCCAGTAAAATGTAGTGTCCATGAATTATCAGCTTAAGTACAGGTGACAAAGTCACATTTTTTTATCTAATCTCTTCATAATTTTTTCTCAACTCTTTGCGTTTTGTGTTCTAGGGTGTTGACCATCTAACTTACTCTTATAAATTTGGTTCCTTCTTGAAAATCATGGAGTTTGTGGAGTTCTGTGAACGACTGAATAACTCCCTCCACTATGCAATGACGACAGTGGAGCGCATGTTGCTGGAGGTGATGGAGTGTCCCACGGCAGCCCAAGCACGGACAGCGCTTTCTGGGATGGAAGTGCAACCATGGAAAGATTCGGTAGCCTGGGATGCCCTGCAGGACAACCGAGACACAAGCATCCTAGTGGGTTGGGAACCCCCGTGCCGGTGAGCACCCAACTTTGTGATGATTACATTATTTCTCTTAAGTATTTAATTAGCAGCATGAAAATCTGCTATGCTGTCAACAAACAGTATAAAATATGAATTTAAATGCACAGGTTTACATTACTTTGTAAATACCATTTGCTGGTGTATAAAGACAGCTCCATATAATCAGTGAGTAGCAAGCAACTGCTTGCTCAGTACTGAATAGACATGCTTGTGCAAATGTGCATTAAAGATTTTCACAGTATGGGAAGTTCGAATGTTGGATGCTTGGCAAGAAGCAAGCAACTCATCTCCACAGTTCAAGAACTGGGGAGCAGGCTCTCATTTGTAACCAAATGTGTGAAAGGATATTTTTCTCCAAAAATGTATCTCTAAATGGATGCAGTTTACACACTGGTGCTCAATTTCAGAGATGTCAAATGATGTTTGGGCTAGTTGTAAAGTACAGTAAAACCTCTCTAAGCTGGAATCGTTTGGACCCAACATTTTCTTCTGTCTTGTACAGGTTTCTGGCTTATTGTTATGAATTAACAAAGCAGGGTGACCAGTGATCTGGCTTTTTGGAATTCAAGACTTTTTCTCAGTTCTCTGGGTCTCAAAATATATCTTCTCTAGGTTCTGTTTCACACATACAACACATTTTTCTTTTTTTTATTAATTAACCATTCTCTGTTACTCTTGCACTTTTCTTTCACAGCCAAATTCTAGAGTGTAGAATTTTGTATAAAAACAAGCTTTAAAGAAAACTCTAAAGCATATGTTACTAATTAATATTCAGAGTCCTAAAATACTTAAAGTATTTTTTTCAGCCATAAAGTCAGCCTCTGATCTGACGCCAACAAAGTTTGAAGTACCGTATTCCTTAGATCGGTTTTGTAAAATGTCTGTCCTACCATGGTACTTTTAAATTTTCAGAATGAATAAATCTTTATATTTGCTTGAAACATCCCAGACATCTTAATTTTTGGAATTTTGAAGATTTTAAAATTGTTGTATTGCAAAATCAATTATGTAAAGTTGTTCAGTAGTAGTATACATGATCATAATAGATTTCTTACCGATTTAAATTCTGTTACAAGATCTCCGGAATTTGTTTTCAAACAGATTTTGCTTAATAGTGTCAATGGATAGATATTATTTAATCATCTGATTTCATTTCTGTTTTAATTAAGTTTGATTTTTAAAATGTTAAAATGTTTTCCAACTTTCTGACTAGACTTTCATAATATTAAAATAGGACTGTATCCAATGATTTAATATATCCACAGATATAGGCTCTAACTGTAATCTCTAATTAATACAATGAATATGAAGACAGTGACCGTTTGAGCTGTTTCTCCTTTTGTTAATTATATGTGTTAACTGAGTAATATGTGACAACAATAAACGAGAAAAATTTCTCTTGATATTTTTAAAGCTCACAAAACACCCTTTCACGTTACATTTACATTTCACCAAGCTAATTTTGCTTGACGATTATCCAAATATTTCTTAAATTTTGACTGACCGGTATACCGCCATCCATGACTCCGACGTTTTGTGCATATGTTTAATAAACATTAGTTGAATTATAAATAAGTGATAGCCTACATAGGCAGCGGTTTTTGAAGTTGTGTGATGCGCAAGTCAAGGTCTACGCAATCCTCAAACATACATGTGGCACTTCTCATACATATTACAATTTTCACTCACCATTATCATGTACTGAGTTGAATCAAACACTTTACTGAATATGATGCTGTTTATAAATTTGTGCTACACATTAGGGATAAATCTCAAAATAATGAAAAATCCCAGTTTCCAAATTAAATTCCCAGTTTTCTTGTTTCTCTCTCCTCTCCTTTCTCTGCCCTCTCTCTCTCTCCTCTCCTATTTCCCCCCTCTCTCTCCCCCTGTCTCTCTCCCCTCTCCACCCTCTCTCTCCCCTTTCTCTGTCTCCCCTCTCCACCCTCTCTCTCCCTCTCCCCTCTCGCTCTCTCTCTCCTCTCTCTCTCTCTCCACCCTCTCCACCCTCTCTTGTGGACTAGTTAAATGGGTTATAAACAGCAGTGAATATTTACATCAACCATAATAAGAATGCTTGAAATGACTACCAGTACAATAATAATAATATTTATTGAGTCACATATACTATTACAATTGTGTTTGACGAGTCAATATGATGTCTTGGGTGGAGAGAGCGAAGTTACATTACTGTTCAGAAGCAAACAAGGGCTTCTTTGAACCACTGAATCTTTCTTCTCTTTGTTTTAAGGTGTCATACACTTGAGGTTTCCCATCTTTAAATTTCCTTTTCAAGACCATTCCAAAGTGTTGTTTTGTTCTTCAATTACTCTAATTTTCTCACCAAGGCTTTATCTTTTTAATTTGCCACCTGACACATGAACACTTGATTAACACTTCTGCAACAGGTCAAACTGAACAACAGTAAAAATTCCACCTTAGACGGGTTTTACTGTAGTGGATTTTGTAAGTGGAAATGATAGATAAATAATAATATATGATGATATCATACTGCTCTTTGCAAATTTTTGGCTATTTTTGAATATGTAGTGTTTGAGTCAATACATAATGCTCGGAAAACTACACGAATGCATATGGAGGGCCTCCGAGAATCTGCGTAATACCCTCAAAAAAATTCACATAGAAGACACCTCTTAATGTTTAACAAAATTGTTAATAGGGCCTCAAAAGTACTGTGTATGCATTGAAGTTATAGGATCAGATTTCAGGACCTACCTGTATAGCTACTGAGAAGGTTTCCTTTCCCAATGACTAAAGTGAAATTAGCAAGAGAAGAAAGATTACACAGAGGGCAAGGTCACAGAAATGCAGCTACGCAGAGTAAAAAGAGGAATTAAAACCCATTTGGGCCTCGGACGCCCTTCATACGCTTCCAAGGTTAGGTTGCAGCTTTCTTAGGGTTAATGAAAATTTTCATCATTGTACTAATTTTGGTGAAATAAATTTCCAGATTAATTTTCTGGAAAAATTACATTTGTAACTGAGGTGCTTCTCATGTTCTGGTGCATCTTTTAGAGTGGCAAATACAGCACTTGCACTTCTCGATGATAACTAGAGAAATAATTAGTTTCATAACTTGTACAGAAAGTGTCTTTGGCATTTGAATAAAATGTTCACAGACAAGGTGACAATATGAGCTGAGATCAGCTTTTTGAAAAGAGTAGTAAGACTTTTTTCCACAAGTTCTGTTCATTATCTTTAGTACGAATTCATGGAAACTTACGAATATAATATAGTCTTAGGATCGTTCTCAATATGCGAGGCAGCAGCTATGTTGATTCATGTCGAGTGTTAAGTGTACTAGGCAATTCTCAGTTGATTGACTTATTTGCGGTACGCGTATGGCAGAGTCCAATTTCTACTCCATACGTGTGCCGCAAAATAACACTTTCCAATCAATAAACATTGAATGTGAGCACTTTAGGCGATTTGACGCGGGCGGGCGTGTGCGCAGGCAGGTGACGGCGGAGCAGCTGCGCCTGAGCTTCGGCGACGACATGGCGCTCCTGCGCGTGCGCTCGCTGCTGCTGCGCGTGCTGGCGGCGGCGGCGGAGTTGCCGGGCGCGGGCGCGGGGGCGGCTGCGGACGCGAAGGAGGCGGTGCTGAACGGCGGGGACGCGGCGCCCGCGGGGGCGGAGCGGGCGGCGCGGCGGAGCTTGCTGGGCGCGCTGGCCGAGGAACTGCGGCGCGCCTGGAGGCGGGGCGGCGCGCGAGGCCCCGCCCCGCGGCCCTGTGCTCACCGCCGCCGTCGCGCTTCCACCTGCTGCTGGCGGCCGGCACGGCGCAGCCCCTGGTGGAGCCTGGCGGCGGTCCTGGCGACGGCCGTGCGGCCGGGCGCCGACCGCGCCGAGACGGAGCGGCGGGCGGCGGCGGGCGGCGGACGGCGCGGCGGCGGCGACGGGCGCGCGCGGCGGCGCACGCGCGGGCGCAGGCGGAGGCGCGCTGAGCGCGGCAGGCCGCGCGGGCGCTGGCGGAGCGGCGCAAACGCCCTGGCGCACGTGGGCGCGGTGGCGGAGATGCTGGCGCTGGCGGCACTGCTGCTGGGCGCCGCCCGCGACACGCTGCGCCCGCCCGCTGCGCCGCCACCGCCGCCGCCAGCGCTCGCCGCCAGCGCCGCAAGAAACAGCCGCCCGCCGGGTTCGGCCTCGCGCGGCGGCGGTGGCGCCTCCTCGGACGGCGCGACGGACGGCGGCGCGGGGGCGGAGGGCGAGCCGGGCGCCGGCGAGTGGGCGGTGGACTGCGTGTGCGGGTTGCGGGGGCGCTGCACGCGCCGCCCAGACGCTCGACTCAGCGTGGACCAGTGGGAGACGGCGGCGGCGATGGACGCGTGGCGGCGGGTGGCGGCGCCCGGGGACGACGGAGGCCGGCGGCGACGCGCCTGGCGGCGCTGGTGCTGGAGCCGGGGGCGGACGCCGGTGCGGGCGCGGCGCCGCCCCCGCTGCTGCCGCCGGCCACCGTCGTGCTGGTGCGCGCGCGCCTCGCTGACAGCGCGCGGTCTGCGTTGCGGGAGGTGCGGCGCGTCCTGCAGGCGAAGGCGCAGTACCTGGCGCAGCTGCGCCGCGTGTAGCGGCCGGCGCGGGCCGGTGGCGCCTCGCCCCCTCCAGGAGCCCAGCCTTACGTGTGGATGCCGCGTACGATTGTTGACATAGTGTTTGTTTCGTTTTGTTTTTTCTTGTTCTGCCTTTCTCGCCAGTTTGGCAACAGTAGCGGGGTGTCAGAAATAAATCTGTTAGAACCGTATTCCTAATCCTTCATTTTTACTTCTTTTGTGCACCTAACTACTGTCAATCTTTAGGTCTCTTGTACCCTTCATATGTAACTGTGGGAGAACACATATAATGTCCATTGTAATGGCGGTGGGAGATTCTTGAATGGCTACTATAAATACATTTGCACCAATTTGTTTAGCAGTAGGTGCTCGAGCTTTTTAATTTGAAATTTCATAACTGTTTATCTGTTAACTGTTTGTTCACATTATCTTCAAGTGCTTCCCACTTTCTCTCTTCATTTTTGTCTTTTTGTGCTTCGTGTTTGTATTAGCCCATCATTGCCCAGAACAGGTTCATTAAATGCTCCACTCTTATCAATTTTTTCACCCTTTCTTTCATTTTCATTTTCTCCCAATGAATGAAGCACATGTTATTAACCTCTGTGCACATTTGAGAATTTCTAAGAAAGAATTTGAGGTGCCTATGTAGAAATTCACAAGTAAATTTGATGGCTTGCATTGTCTTTTGAGAATGAAGTTTAATGCTGTTTAAAGTTATTCCATCATGAAAAAGGTAACAAAAAGCACACTATTGAGTGTTATTCCACAATAGACCTTCCTTGCTCAAACTGATGTAAGAGTTGATTAAGACATAATGTTTGTTTCCTTTGCAGAGAGATGTACTGAATACGGGTGATAGCTATTGTCTTAATTCCATGCAATGTAATTGGAGTTGAATAACTCCACACCAGGAGACATCATACATTCTGTTAATTGTTTGTTTTTTGTCCCAATATCCTTAACCTTCAAAATTTTACATAGCTTATTAAGGTTAATTAAGCAATGAAATATA